ATTGCATTGAGAAATACGAGTGAAAAAAAAAACAAATTACATACTATCCGAAAGAGGAGAAAATTTCCTATTGATTGGTAATAAAATTTTCTTTTCGAAACGTCTTTGTTGAAGAGTTATGCAAAAAACAACGAAATCAACATTCTGTGTCATTTTGCTAAATTTTACAAAAAATGTAAGATGTTTTCGAAAGTATAGTTATTTTTTGTCATGTTGTTTCATTTATAGACATGGTAGAAACCATTAATTATATGCAATCTGGAAGAGCAGAAGAAGCTCTATCTTTTGGTAAAAAAAATTTTGCTTCAGTCCTTTTCTATCGAAGAGAAATATGGATCAACATTTTGTATCATTACTTTTGCATCGTATGTTATATACGTAGTTATATCTATTGATTTTTGCATTGCTGCCATGTTATATGTCAACCAATGCATTATTTGGGTATGATTTCCTATCTTTTTTTTTGTCTAAATAAGCTTCCTTCGCTTATCTTTTCTTTTTGCCTATTGCTATGAATATGTTTTGCTTTCTTTTTCTTTCTGTTTTTTTTTTGGTAATACCGAAATATTCAGTTCTTTCTCCTTGTTTTTTTTTGGCCTTATCATTTTCTCTTGAGTAGCTACTGACAGATCTGTGTATTAGTAGTGTGCTGTACAGGCACGAAGGACAAAAAACATCACTTGCACTCATATTTTCTTGTGAAAATGAATCACGATCAATGCGTTGGAATAATCGGCTGTGGAAATATGGGTCTTGCTATTGCCCATCGTTTAACTCTTTCAGGTTTTACTGTTTTAATCGGAAGTCGAAATCCAGATATTCGATATCATGTCGAATTTGAAATAACTTCAATTATTGATTGTGTTATTCGTTCATCTATTATATTTGTTGCAACTCATGCTGAACATTATACTAATACTCTTATTTCACCATTGGAACATCATCCAACATTATTTGATGAAAAAATTTTAATTGATATATCAAATCAATTAGATAATAGATCACGTGAAGATGGATTATCAAATGCTGAACGTCTTCAAATAGCTATACCGAATGCATATGTTGTTAAAGCATTTAATACAATATCATCATTCGTTATGGAAAGCACAACAGCAGGTGAACCACGAAGTGTTCCTGTTGCTAGTAATCATGGATTTGCAAGAGATAAAGTAATAATGCTTGCTCGAGAAATGAATTTTGATTCATATAATGGTGGTTCACTTCGAACTGCTCGACATTTAGAAAATTATACACGTTCTTTATTTCCTCTTTGGAGAAAACCAATAATTATAACTTTAATTGTTTTATGTATTTGGTTAAGTTATACGGTTTATATGAAATTTATAAGTACAAAAACAACATCATGGCATCAATTATTTTTACATATGACAAATAAAATTTTATGTACAAGTGCTATAACACTGTTAGCTCTTGTTTATATGCCATCAAATTTAGCATGTATGTTTCAATTAGCATATAAAACTAAAGAACGACGATTCCCTAGATGGCTTGATACATGGTTACTTTGTCGAAAACAACTTGGTTTATTAACATATGCTATTGCATTATTTCATGTTCTTATTACTTTAGTTCTTATGTCATCTGCTTATTATACAACATGGTTTCATCCTACTATAATTACATTACCACCTAATAAAAATCAAACAAAAATAATTGTTCAAAGTAATGTCATGACTTGGAAAGGTGAATTAGCATCATTAATGGGTATTTTAACATTACTTTCAATGTCTTTATTAGCATTAGCAAGTATTCCAGCACTTGCTAATTTATTAAATTGGCGAGAATGGAGATTTGTTCAATCAAGATTAGGTACATTTACATTATTATGTGCTATTGGACATGTATTTGCGATGGCTGCACCTCGTTGGATTGAAACGGGAATAATACAATCACTTAAATCAGTTGGATTTCTTTGTGTATTTTTTCCTGTCATAACGATTTTGATGAGATTTTTATTTTGGTTACCTTGCTTTTATAGACGAATTCTTCGAATTCGTCGAGGAGGACTACCAAAATAAGTCGCTTAAGCATTGTATGGATGCATGCGTGTGTTTGTTCTTTAATATCTCTTTGCCTTCTCATGTTAATCTTAATTCGACTTGAAATAAATTTGACAAGTATGTGAACAGACTATAAACATTAATATTGAATAATGAAATCAAACTATTAAACGAAAAACAGATATGTCTAAGTTTACCATCTAGAACAGCTTCTAGTTAAGATAAAACTAAATGACAAATGACTGAAAAGATGAATATAAGAAACAATTCTATTTTGGAAAAAACTCAAATAGAAATACATATTAAATAAGTCGAAGAATTACTAACGAAGTATCTTCATTGTCAATAACTATGTTTAATGAATATGTTCTTTTTTTTTTTATGAAGAAACATATCTTCTCCGTTTGTCTCCATTTGAAGGAAATTACTAAAATAGTGTAGTCTTCGAAAGTTTCCTGTTCATGTTTAGATTTATTCAAGATAACAAATTTTTTGGTAGACTCCTCTTGCCAGAGTTCAATTTTCGAAAAAAATCATGTGTAGACATTTCGATCTGAAACTTTGTACATATGAATGTCACGATTAGAATATCTCATGTATAAAGTTTCATCAGTTTTGGATATCGAATTGTCAAAGATATTGATTTTTCAATATATCTACATTTTTCTTTTAGTACGGAGTAATATAGGAATATATTGAGAAATCCATATCTTGGCGATGCGACATCCAAAACTGATGAAACTTTATGCATGAGATAGTCTTATTGTAGCATTCGTGTATAGCACGTTTCAGGTATAAATTCTCAAATACATTTTTTTTTTCGAAAATTAGACTTTGGCAAGAGGAATCTAACCTATGAGGCGTACGTATTCACACAAATGTTGAGACCTGCTGTGTTCGAACCGAAAGCACTGAAAGTCTAACTTTTCCCCCAAGTATATAGTTTGAAGTGCATATTCACAATAAAATTGAAGATCTAGGCTAAGGAATTAAATTTTAATATTTTTTAAAGCTACTAAAAATGATTCATTACTAAGGTAAATATTTTCTTATTTTAATTTGAATTATGTTCACTGAAAAAGAGAAGATAGAGAGTTCAAACTTGAAAAAAGAAGACTGTGAAATTTAAATTTTCGAAAAATCAATTTTTTTGTATTTTTCTGCGTATCTAGAGTAGCTATCAATCAGCATTAAAACCAAAACCAATAGATTCCACGGTTTTTGACGGAAGTTTTAAACACTTATAATAACACAAACTTTTTTAAGAAGTCGAAAATATGTAACTTTTGAATCTTACAAGACTATGTATTAAATATTAGACAAATACATTGTATTGATTTCATAAATGGCAGAACAACAATTACTTACAAAATTTCACTTGACGCTAATATCGACGTAATTAGATCCTTGAATAACTCGAAACGATTACATCCATTTAACTTAAGCTTTTTCTAATCATAGCTAACATAGCAACTCAAAATGTATATCTCATGTGAAAGCATTAAAACACATACATAGCCAATATATGACAATAAAGTATATAATTTGCTTTATTCTTGAGTGAAAAAATTCGGCTTCGAGCATTTTTCATTTAAGTACAGCAGGTTTTGATATTTGTGCGGATAGTTATGCATCGTAGATTACTAAAAATTTGCTGTCTTGGCCAAATCTAAACATGAGCAAGAATCCTTTGGAGGTAACACGATTGTAATATATCTCTTGAATATCAGAGATCAAAATCGAATCGAATCGAGTCGAATATAATTCCCTTTATTCGATTCAATAACAATCTTTTCGTTAACTCTTAAACACGAGCAATAAAATTCGCTTCAGTAAACAATTCATATTCTCTCTATCTTGTACTTTTGCAAACTTTATCGATTTCCGTGCATGAAAAGTCTACTAGTTTAACTATTACTTATATTGTTGATGTTTTGCATCCTTGTAGTTGACGTATGAATAGAATTCTATTATTGGTACGGTGGATGTTTGTTGCTTCGATTACACGATCAACAGTACAGTTATAAATAAATGAAGATTTGATAATTTATTACTCTTCTATATATCCTGATTCACTGATTGAGATGACAAATGACTTCAAATTATATTAGCATTAGTTATGCAAATTTAGAAACTACTATATTGACCGATCACTAATAAAGAAAAACATTTCTTTATGTAGTATCCAAGTTCTATTTTGTACTGTAGTTCTTCCTTGTGAATTTCTGTAAATTGATAGGTTTAGTCTATAGGCACAGGAAAATCTAAGTGAAATTTTATGTGAGACGTAGATACATTTTTACTTATGACAATGAAGGAATTGTCTTTGGTTTTTGGTATGAAGTGAATCCGAATCGATATTTTCTCATTCATTTCGGTCTCGATTACATATGAGCAAAATATGTAAGCAAACGGAGCCGATCATTTGGGAATATTTCCTTGCAAGAAATAAATTCTAGTGTTAGCATACGTCATGATATAGCAAAATGAAAAAACTTTATAACTTGTGAAACAAGCAACAAATGTACAAGGTCTGTCTTAGATTTTTTCTTATCATAGTTAACATTACATATAGATAAAATATATACATACGAACGGAACGAGCTACTCGCGAATGTCCTCTCCTTAGTTGTTTTAATATGTATGGATTAATTAACAAGGATTTCCATTGTGTTCATATGTCTTTTATTTTTGTCTTATGAAAACTCAATATGAAATGGAATGAAACAAACGAGTTTGTCCGATCAATTAATATTTTATTCGAAAGACGCAGACATATTTAATGTTATCTTATAAACGAATTATTTATAATTTTAAATGTCAGAAGAAGAATTATTTCATTTATTGAGAAATTTTTTTTGGTTTTGCATAATAATAAAATAAAAATCTCATATTTCAAAGCACAAAAAATTTATTTGATTAACGTGTTTGTTTACAAGAAAAACTATCAATAATGAGAAAATTCTTTTAAAATTTATGTCATATCATTGTAGCATTCGTAAGATTTGTTACTACTTGTGCATTTCGAGGATCATAAAGTAGACCTGAAAAAAAAAAGAAACGAAAAATTAAAAAATTTTGAAAAAAAATTCATTCAATCTTCATATCTATACCAGCAATTGATGCAGTCATCAATGAGACCATATTACCACCGATCAATGCACGTGGTGCAATTTTAAGTAAAGCACGTTTTCGTGTAGGTGCAAATACACCAAGTGTTGCTAATGCAATACCCATTGAACCAAAATTAGCAAATCCTATCAATAATTTCAAATAATAAACGAAGAAAACAAAAAAAAACCTATTATAAAAAAAGACTTACCACATAAAGCATAAGTTAAAATAATTACTGAGCTTTCCTAAAATGATAAAAAAATCTTTATTTTTCTATTTTACAACATATTCATATATATGTATATATATGAAATATTTACATCCCATAACATTTGAATATCATTTGGTAATGTTAATGTACCATTTAAATACAATGAAAATGTATCATTTGCTATAAGTTCATTACGTAACTTACGAATTTTACCAAGTTCTTGATAAGCAATAAACTATCAAATAGAAAAATAAATTCTTTCTATATTGAAAAAATTATACATATAAATTGTTACTTCATTTAAGCTGACTTTAATACCGATTAATTTTGATCCAATAAGACAATCACGTAATGATATACCAGTTATAAGTGCAAATGGATAAAAGACTAAGCCAAGTATATATTGAAAATTAACTTCAGGATGATGTACAAGATTAAATAACCATGATATTGATACATCAAGAAAATTGAGAACACTAATAAATGCTATTAAATTTGCAATTAGATAACCACAAATTTTTAATGCATTTCCAGCTCCAGTCATTAAAGCATCAATTGCATTATGTTGATCACTAGTTTAACAAAAAAAAGTAAAAAAAATACAAATAATGAATAATTTTAATTGAATTTAATTTCAAGATTTCAAATTAAAAAGTACTAGAATCTGTATATCTTCATAAACAAGCAGATTCTTTAAGGATACCTCTCCTCTTTTGAACTACTTCTGATTCTCCACGAGAGTACGACTAATCGGACTCAAATCTTTACAATAGCTAGATTATCGAAAATGATGATGCTTACGATCCCGGCCTTACTTTATGAGACCGAGTTTAAATTTTTTCTAGAGATATCTGAGTCAAAGTCTCAAAAGTATACATCTCTCGGCTTTTAAATTAGAAAAATATGATAAGCACTGGTTGAAAAAATAGTTTTTGAGTTCGTGCTTCCCGTATTTTTCCAAAAGCTTAAGAACATTTCTGAGATGTTGCACTAGATCTCCAAAAACAAAATTTCACCTCGAAAACGCAAAGTAAGACGAGAGTAGAAAGCAGATCTGATGCTTTTTTCAAGATTCTTCAAAAACCTCTGAAGACCTATTTTTAAAATTTTTTCCCCAAACATAGGTCCCATCATGTTCGACAGTCTAGCTGTAGTAAAAATTTGATTCTGATCGATTGTATCCTTGTGGAGAATTAGAAGTAGTCCAAAAGTGAAGGTCCTTTCCTCACTCGAAAATCTAACTTCAACAGATTACATGAGTTATTGATACTACTTTGCATAGATGTTCGGCTCATGAAAATACATTAATAAAGAAAATAGATTCAAACGCCCTATTCAGGAGATTTTCAGCGACTAAGACACAAATCAAGGGCCAATTGTTTATGAATATATTTCAAGCTGCAGTGCTCGGACTATTTTCATTTGAAAGAGAACTTCTCACAACTTCGCATGAGGAGAAATGGTTTTATTAATTTTTACTTTCTTTATATTTTTCGAATTATCGAATATTCAAAAGTCTGGAAATCTTTGACATGTTTTTCTCGAAAACTTAGAGTTTTTCTAGCATTGAGGATTGATTAGAAAATTCATTTCGATCATCTGAAGAACTATGCATATATCTATCAATAAAAAAGAAACAACTCTCTAGAAAGTAGTATATTGAACAATTTTTTTTATGAGTATTTTAGTCAAATTGGGGTACGTTTTTTTTTTCTTCAAAATATTGTTCATACGAAATTTGGCATTCTTTAAAAAATTAGTACCATTGTAAAAATAAATGCGGAAACTTCGGATTTAAATCCGAGAGTTATGTGTACTTCAAAAAGTGAATGAGACAGATGAGTCGTTCTAGAACGTGTGGACATCAAAATTATACTGGGGAACCTACCATCTAAACTGTTGATTTCTATTGAGTATTGCCAAACCAATAGGACTTGGGACCCAATACAGCTCAAATCTGAACTCTTCCCCTTGATTTACCCTAAGAAAGTCGTTTTTCCTATAACTTGATTTCTATTGGTCACTGCTCAACCAATAGTATTTCGATGGAAGTGGAATACAGATTCGAGTTCTCCATCTCAGAAAACCTCGAAGTATCATCACTGTGATCGGAAGATAGAGCTCTATTTGTGGATCAATTAGATCGTGGACAAAAATCTAACCTAGTTCTCTTTAATTATCTTTGTGATAGATGAGTCAACCTTCTTGTTTCTTTATGTTTTATATACCATTTTGTAGCTCGTGAAATTCTCTATCAAATGGTATATAATAGTTGGGGTTTTAGTTGACTAAGATAGGAAAAGTCTTCTACGAAAGTGGGGATGGGTCGATCTTTCCATAGGGAAGGTGCAGGGAAAAATGAGTATTTTTGCAATAACTCAGGAAGGGCTCGGCCAATCCTTCTCATCTTCGAACTCGACCGAGATATTGTTAAGACTGAACTGTGTAGAAAATTTCATCGCGATCGGACTCCCCTTTCGAAAGTTATCGGATAAACGGACGGACGGCCGGACACACTGACCGATTTTAGTAGTGTACTCACTTTTTGAGTACACAAAAAACACATTTTTTAACGGTAATCCAGTATTTTGCTACCTGAAAAAAATGAAGTATAGGGTATTGCAGGGGAAACTTTCAGTCATTTTTTACATTTGCGACTCCCATATCTTCCAAGTAACGACCACCATAGTAACAACGACGCAGTTTTATATAGTATTATTTCAAACAATGAAGATGCTTATGAACCAGAGTTGTAAATAGGTCACTTTTTTCCGGTCTGACCTGCAGATCCTTGACGGGCAAACCAGATCGACTGATGTTTCTGTTTTTTTAATCCACTAAGTTCTATAATCTTATTATAGTGTATCATTCTAGTTTCAGTTATATACTTCATTTTTTTTTTCATAAAGATAGTATAATGACAAGTTGTTGGACAAAAAAGTTAATGAAAACAAAGATATAAATCATCAAAAAATATTTTTTCATACAAGAAACACCTAGATTTAGTGAAATATTTTTGAACATATCAGCAATGTTTAATATTGTCGGAAAAAATGTAATTATGATAGAAAAACAACATATGATCAGACATACAACGAAGACGTACAAGTATGTGAAGAGATGAATCACACTCATGCAAACGCCCACAAAATCATGAGTTTGTAGCGCCACACCCTATCCACACCCACATTTACCCGCTGCAAAAATCAATAGATTTGGAAAATAAAAACCGATTGAATAATAGAACAGATTTTTTCCCAGTAGATTTTTATTTATATAGAGGTATCGGATGCTAAATAAAACATACCTTAGTGGCACATTTTGTACGGTATCCCATGATGTTTTTGATTTATGTGTTTCGGGTAATAAAAGTTTCGCAAATCCAAGTGCACCTGGTGCAGCCATAACACTAGCAGCAATTAAATGATTTGCCGGAACACCAAAAAGTATAAATGTAGCAAGAACAGATCCTAATATAATTAAGTAAAACTAAGAAGAGAAATATGAATGTTAATTTCAAACCTGCCATTGTTGCGAAACCGCCGACTAATACAGCATGAAGTTCAGATGTTGTCATTTTCGGTACTAATGGCATAATAAGCAATGGTGCTTCACTCATACCAACAAATATATTTGCAGCTGCATTCATTGACTATAAAAATATATGTTAAATTTTTCTCTCTATATATATATGCGAGGTAGTCAGTGTGACTGGATTCTCCAATTCTTTTTTTTCTAATAGTACAGCTTCTATAATATTTCATAAACATATGGTTTTCTTACCAGTTGTAACATTGATAATATTGCATCGATTATATATCTTCGAAGTCAAAATAATCAAATGTTTTCATAAAATGTTTAGGTAAAATATACTTTCATGTTTATTGACTACATGAATTATGCAGGAAAAAGACTTAACAATCAGGATGTGAGTGTGTGGGCACAGAGATATCGTTTGACGTTATTCAGGAGGAGGAAGACGGTCAAGGAGAACACATCCATAAATCAAAGAAAGTCTTCTCTTTGACGACTGTAATAAAAACAATCTTTTTATTAAAAACAGCTGATTTTCCATGAAATCTTCAAAGTGAAGTTGTCTATTTTGCACATTTACGCTATCAAAAATCAAGAAATTCGCTAAATAGCAATCAATAAAAATTTTCTGAAAGAAAGGTTGAGCGCAAATGAAAATTCAGAAGGGGAAAATTCTCCTCTTTCCCTCTTCTAATCTTATGCTCTGTATAGGCATTGGAGTCGTTATGGGTAAGGATATGAATGTAGGATAGGATGTGTCTATGGGCCGTCTCTTCATTCATACCCTCAACCATGCTTAGATTCATACACTCTAGAAGTTGCGCGATTAAAAGAAAAAGAATTGGAGTATCCGATCAAACTGGCTCCTCTCATATACGTGTTAGGAACAAAATTGAAACTCTAGTTTTTCACTAAACAAAATTGGGATTCGACTAGAGATAAATTCATACAATTAGATATTTTACTAAAAGTACAGTGAAATGAAAAAACAAAAAAGAGAAAATTTTTAGTCAAAGCGATCATTTTGGTAAGCAGTATAAATATAAATGTATGTGTTACAATCTAATAAAAAGAAAAGATCTGAATTGGATTCAACAATCGATTGCACATGCAATTGTAAAGATAGGTGTGCTACAAACAATATTCATGTAAAAAAAATGGGAATTTTTTATTCAACCAAATGTCATTCTAAGTGCAAAGTGGTTTTATAAAGTATTTATGAAAATAGAGAAAAAATATTGTTGAATAAAAATATTTATTCCATTCAGATTTTGTTTATCTCTAGTCGAATTCTAATATTGTCAAGTCAAAACTTGAACATCAATTTTACTCCCTAATGTATATATATATGAAAACTATGAATAGATACTTCAGCTGCTGTTGTATTCAAACATTTCTGCATAAGCCATGCAATTTTTCCTATAACAAATTGCATAACACCATAATAATACAGAACATTTATCACGGATCCAAGAAAAATAATTATTGAAGTAATCTTCAATACAAAAAAAAAGAAATTGAAAATTAATCAAATCAACAATTTTTTATTGTGAATAAGTTTACTTTAAAGACATAAAAATGATCTTGATAAGTATCTCCGAAAACAAATCTTGCTCCAGCATCTGCATTACTAAATAATAAAAATAATTTCATTCAAAGAATTCTTTTTTTTTTTAGAAAAAAGAAAAAGATTCTTTTTACTTAATAAATTTTGTTACTTCTGCTCCAAGAAAATCAAAAAGTTCAAAACCAACTTCAACTCGAATGACAAAAACAGCCAATATGAACTGTAGAATAAATGAATACAATACAGTTTGCCATGGAATCTAATTTGCCATGATATCAAAATTAAAAATATACTTCATATTCTGTTCCAATTAAAATAATTGTCCTACCTACTCGATGAGGATATTTTGAACCTATGAAAAATTAAAAATCAAATTCATAATTCTTTTCTTTTTTTCTAATTTAAAAATTAAAATACCAAGCGTTCCAAGTAAAATTAATGTAAAAATACCAACAAGTGAAACTAAATTTCTTGCTCGACTGACTGTTAAGCCAACATAAAGAGCAACACCAAAAAAAACTAAAAGATGTAAAACCCTATTCATCAAAGAAAAGAATGTGAAAAACAAATTATATCTAAATAAAAAGAAAATATTATTTACCACGTAAATCTATTCAATAATCGACCAATTTGAATCCATATTCGATTATTTCTATTTGATTTTGAAATAAATTTAATTAGACGTTCTAATGAACGTCCAAGAAGTGTTTCCCATGCAATAATAAAAACAGCAACAGCAACAAGAAGAAACATAGCAAAACCTAACGAAAAATTTTATATCAATCACAATTCAAAATTTATAAATTAATACCTTGATTGCCATAAAAAACATTTCCACGTATAGGGAAAGCAGGTGTTCCATATTTTTCACTCATAGCAAAACCAAAAAAGATTATAAAACCAATTAAAAGCAATATTTTTATTGCATAAACTGCCAGTTTCTATTGAAAAATTATAGAAAGATAAATATTATTCTTGTTTTCAGAAAGCAATAGGTCTGATTATTTTTCGAATAACTTTTGATAGGAACAACATAGAGACCTGGAGTTTTCACCATTCAAGAGAGAAGACTCTGGGCTATCTAGGTATGTTGAAATCTTATTTGTCAACAGTTAACCAATTAGATGAGTTCTCTGTGAAGATTTTGAAAAATGATATACTCAAGCCACTGCCTATCGGATTTTGACTAATCGATAGAAAAAATTCTGCTCTCTTTCGATCTATACAAGCTTCAACTTTCTAGAATATTCTCCGTTCCACAATTACAATGGTTTTTCCAAGGTTTCCGATTTCAGAAAATTGACCTTGGAAGTCTGCAGAAGAGCTCAAGATAGGGGTAATTCATCATGCTGAGTCGAATAGTGATGTTTGTTTTCTATTTCAAAGCTACCCGAGACGAGTAGCAGATCTACGACTTTTATGACGAAAAGGAGGAAGGACATCTTTTCTGCTACGAGAAATAGAGATAAGTCTTTTGGAAGGGAGCGATCGCCCAATCCGTCTCCTCCACCTCTAAATTTGCCACTGCTCGAGACCACGTTTTCTAGCTTTTTATGCTGCATAGGTGAAATTTTTGAAATTTCAAAAATACTGAAACAGTGGTCTTAGCTCACTTTGAAACTGTAAACAAACATCAACAATTGACTCAGCATAATGAGTTATTCGATGTCTTGAGATCTTTTGTAGTATTTCAAGGTCAATATGCTAAAATCGGAGGTTTTGAGAAAATTCTTGTAACTCTAGAATAAAATATGCTAGAAAGTTAGAGTTTGTGTAGATCGAAAGAGAAGAATTTTTTCTTTCGAGCGGTTATCTTTCATATCAAAATCCAATAGGATACTACTTGTGAATATCTTTTTTGCAAATTTTCATCAAGAATTCACATGATTAGTCAATTGTTGACCGATCAATGTTCGGCATACGTAGATAGCCTAGGACCTTCTCTCTCGAATGGTAACAATCACATATCTTTATGAAGTTCCTATCAAAAGTTATTCAATAAATAGTCAGACTCATTGCTTTTTGAAAACAACATTACAAAAACAATAGTTTTCTTACTTTTTCTTTTTGAATCATACGAACCAAAAATCCATGGAGACTCAATACAAATAAACCGAGTTTATGTCCATCTCCTGATAATCTTTCAAATCCTGCATTATTCTTATCTTCGTCATCATCCTCCTCATCTTCTTCCTCATTTTTTATTTCTAATTTTGTTGTTATAATTGTTCCATTTCCAAGACTTGATGCCGATGGTCGTTGATCGAAAAATCCAGGATTATCATAAGCAACTGATTTCTAAATGAAATAATTATTTTAAATTATATCTTCTGTTTGTTAAATACCTGATCGACTTTATTAGATGCAGTTGGTGATGCTGTCACACGTTGTGAATCACGTTCTGTTAGTTCATAATTAAGTGTATCAGTAGCAACCTTAAAAAATTTGTTTTTCTTCTTATATTTTGTTAATTTAAAATATAACTTACTTTTGTCATTTGAATTTTGTTTTTTTTATTTGATTATTTTTATGTATATCCAATAGTTACTGATAAAAAGAATCAACTAGACTTAACAAAAAAAAACTATAAATAAATATGACATACAAAAGATATATTTGTCTTGAGATCGATAATAGCTTCAACAGAATCAAAAAATTCGAAATCTTCTACTCTGTCGTTTTTTTCTTCGTTTTTTAATGCTAACTTCAATACGGCCCCACCTTTTGATATCTTTCTCATAAATCGTATTCGACTTTTGTTTTTTTCTTTTTTTTTTGTGTATCATATGATAAGATGCTGCGAAGAAAAATGAAGGAGAATTTGCACATACCCGGATTCTCTTTTTTTTGTCAAATATCGCTTGACGTTTAACGTAATAGAAAGTGAATACTAAAATATAAAAGATTTGAAAGTTTTGTGAGAATATATATATATATGTATGTATTCATTTCATCTTTTCTCAATGTTCATCTTGTTCTACTTTCTCGATATTCACTAGTATAGTGCATACTTTTCTTCTTCACGCCTCGCTAAACTTTTTTATTCCTTTCGTTCATTGTCCTCATACGATTGACCGATGTCTCACTACGGTCAGTTGATTTTTTTTTCGTTGTGAAAGTTAGTTTATCTCTTATTTGAATAAAGAGACATGTGCTCTTCTTAACATCCGAGACAAAGGAAACTATGTGATTAAAAACGCCTTACAATTTTTATTATCAATTGATTACACTTCTGAATTTCAATGCAAAGTTTTGTGTATTATATGTTCTTTCGATTTGAGTACAAACCTTATCTTTACCTTCCATTTGCCTTTTTCTATAAGTTTACGATTACAAATGAAACATTTTGCGTTGTAACTATAATCTGACTTATCATATTTTAATAGTATGATTTTTATGCTCATAGAGTAATCATTGCTAGATATTATCGTATTGTCAATTATCTTCAATTGAGTTAAGAGACATGTACGATCTGTGGCAATATTTAGTGTGTCAAATATTATAATGGTTTTTTTTTTATTGTGCACAAAAGAAAAACAAAGATAGATTCATTGATTATTTCTTTTCTGTTATTTGATTATAACATGAGTTGACATTCTTTGATTTATTCTTTTTAGATTTTTGTTTTTCTTAATCGATCAGTCAATATTATTTTTAATGTTAAAGTTCAAACTAAGTTATTTTTCTTTTTATATAAAAGATTATTCTGTGACCTTGAAAATAAATATCTCATGATGTCGATATATGCATCTATTTAAATGTTTGTGCGTTGTTTAGTTATTTCTATACATTACAACAATTAACCTTGACATGACCACTTGAGATCTGCATGAACTTCAGTCAACTTTATCACACTGTTATAAATACACAATATTAAATGAAACCATTCATCTTCCAGATATTCATTCCCTAGTAAAGACTGGCAGAGTATGCTGATAATGTGCGCCAGTTACGCCCAATTATTCTCTATGTGTATAGGCTGTCTCGAAGTACATTTGAACGCTTGTTGATTACATCGAGCTCATCCGGGCCCCTTCCCGATGAGATACATTGTTGTCTTTTGTATTCATAAAATTTTATCGAATCATGTCCTATTAGTTATGTGTTACGAATACCTAGTATAGTACATTGATAACATCAATTTATCATACGTAATTGTTCGTCTTATGTAAAACAATCCAAAGTAGATGTGGATACTGAATAGTAACATATGATTTCAAACGTTTCGAAAATGAAGAATGATAAGACCATCAAAAAAGGCTAGATAAACATAGCACAAACATAAACTGTTTGTCTGTTTGTTCTTCTTAAAAACAAGTATTTTCTAGAGTCTTTACATGTCCATGATAAACTAGTAACAACTTCGTATTTATTTTATCAATTGGGGTCCGCGTGCAGAACGCCAAATTAACAACAAGTGATAGTCCTAGAGGTGGTGGTGTTAGACTTAATACTTCATTGTGTTCAGTTTAATTAATAAAAGATATCTTATTGAAATAATGTATGAGTTGGATGTCACTATCAGGATAGCAAAGGTGCACTTTTGTACCTTTTAGTAAGTCGAATCGAAGCTAATTTTAGAAATTTTTCAAAAAACAGTCTTATTGAAAACAAAAAACATCAACGACAAATGAACCATTATCGATATCAACTGATCAATATGAAGAAGACAAATTATAATGAAAAAATGAGGTATCGTAGTTTGATCGAAAATGAAAATATCAAAGAGAAAAAAAGATCAAAAACAAATGATATTCATAGTTTTATGGTTATTAAAGATATATATGATGAATTAGTAAGAACAATATCAAAATACTTAATGAAAACAGTAAATAGTTTGCTAGACTAATTTCAAGATCAATGATTCATGAAAGTTTCTATTTCTTAATGGTATGTGCACTATTTCATTATAAAAACTAATAATTATATTAAGGATAGATACTTTCTTCTTGTTAATTTTTTATATTCTTCTGTTTTATTTAGCATTTCATAATCGTTCTGATCATACAAATTTTTTTCTTCATTGTTAAAGTTTCTTCAAGGGAAAACAATGCGTTTTTTTTATCATGTCCATGTTTAATTCAGTTTAGATTTAAATATAAGAATAATGTCATTAAAAATAATTGTATCTCAGGGTCGTATAGTTCGTCTTAATGAAAGATATAATGATAATCTTATAGGTTTATAATATCTAATTGTGCAAGGAAAAAAATGACATTTTTATCATCATATCTATTGATTTGCGTATAATCTCTGTTAGGATATTAGCATTTTATCATAAGTAAAAAGTGTATTTTTTCAGTCAAAAACTTTCTAAAGAGCTTTTCGACCTGCACTCTACCTCGATATTTTTACATTTCTGTATTTGCTTATTAATCCCTTTCGATATATCTTCATCAATATTCTTATCTTCGACATTTTTAATCTTTTTATTTTCTATATTTGTATTATTGACTAAACTAAAATCAACTATAAAAAAATGTATTTCTAATGTCAATAGAATATTTTTTCCTTTATCATTGTAAATGTTTTCTTAATTTGACCATTTTATATATAATCTGGAGTTTCATGAAATTGGATGGTATTTTTTTTGTTGTAGTTATTCTTTTGTGTATTTTGTTAAAAGCTTGAAGTGAAAATAGAACAATAACGAAAGTAAATAGTCTTGTTAACATACAGTAGAGACTACATGTAAATTAAAAGAATTTTGCAAGGAAAGATAACTTTCTGCATTTTCTGGCAAGAGTTTTAAATTGAAACTTATATAAAAAGCTTGTTAGTGCAGCCACTTGGGGCTGGAATGTAGGACTCATATGTCTTCTTTAGTTTCATTATAATAATACAAAATACGCAAAGTGTAAAATCTCTAAAAGACGATAAGTCTTTTCCAATGATAATCGATTGTCAACAAACACTTGGTCTTTTTTCTTTTTACAATTCGAACAGAAATTATTTGTTGTCTGGCGCTCTTTTTTTCTTTTGTCCAGCTGCTATTTGTATGGTATTCAATTTGTTTTTTTTTCTTTTGTCATTTTCATATTGTATTATTACGACTTTAACTATTGATTTTATGGCAAAATAAGCTTGTTGTACGCATTCATTATATCTACAACAGATTTTAACGATCTATTATGTATCTCTATGAATTAAAAAAGACTGAAATTGATTATTCTTGAAAGCTAGAACTTAATCAGTTCATACTTTTGTGTTAGCCATATAACAGTTGTGTGAAATTAAAACATCATCTTTGATATCTTGAATATAATCGTTTATCTGTGCAAAAATAAAAAGACCAACGTTATTTAGAATATTAATAAATGTATTCCAGACATTTTAATTTCAAGGAATGTTCTCGAATCGTCTAAGCCTTGTTAATAATATCGTTCAGCGTCTTTAATCTCGTTGTTAATGTCTGTAATGGGGGGGACGGAAAGGTGGGAGGAGCTACAAAAATCTCGATTTTTACTTCCACTCACTATTATTTTCTTTTAAAATGTACGTGAGTTCTACAAACGATAACATTTATGTTCAAGTTTTGATGTTTATCTAATCAACTCAATAAAGAACTATATACGTTCCAATAAATTTTCTCAAAACATTTTTAGATTTCTGACTATGCCATTAAAAAATAAATCAATATTCTTTGTAATCAATAACTAGTAAACTATTTCAATAAATCAAATATATATAATGGTAGCGACAAGTTGGAATAATTCCAATGAAAGAAAAAACATGAAAGCACAAAGAAATTTCAACTTGCATAAAAAGTATTGGCTAAGAGAATAATTTCAAAATCGAATAGTCACAACATGATCATATCAGTGTTTATTACATATATTGATAATACCTTTACTTACAAATTGATATTAGCAATTCAAGGGAGGGTCCTCCTCATCAATAAACTGTTTTCTTTTTCATTTGATTTCAATCGAATTTCAGAGAATATTAATCTTGGCTAGAATAAATTATGAATAAAATATCTCTCCAAATCTCCAAGACACTCACGAGTTATAGTCAATTCATTGATCAAAAGTATCCTTTACACGGACAAGGTTTTCAAAATGAAGATACGAGTTAACATGTCGGGGATGGTTATTAAATTGTACAATATACTTAGGATTAGGTCGTAATAGAACCCGATTTTTAATTTTCCTTTGAAAAAGTTTTTTTAAAAACACTTTTTCAAAAAATTTTCAAAATTATAGTCCAAAAAGAAATCACTAATTGAAATCAAGGACATAAGTTGCTATTTCAGTAAAAGAGAAATTCAAAAATTAGGCTTTATTACGATCTAGCCTTAATTGTTTTCTGTGTAATAAAAACAAAAATTACCACTTTCATATTGAGTTGTTATTAAGAAGAGTTTAGCCGCGTAAACGGTAAACTCGAATTAAACTAATTCTGAGAAAAAAACGAAAAACAATGTTTTTTGTCTCTATTCGAATTAAGTCTTCAAAATTCATCAAGCTTTATTAAATGGCGTATGTGTGGATATACAGCTTGATTACGTTATTTTTAATAGTTTTGTTCAGTTTGCTGTATTTATACAAAACCTCGGGTATTTCTTATTTTGATATGGTTGGATAGAGCATCGCTTACTGTATCAAACTATATAGTTTTTATTTTATTTATTTTGTGTTTTCTCCAAAAATCTGATAAATTCTGAGAAGCGCTGAAACGAAACTTTTGCACGCTCATATTTCAGCAACAGTAAGCTCAATAGTACTGAAAATTGCTTTAGATAGAAGAGATCCATCACACTTCCTCGTGGAAAAAGTATTAAACAAAACGGATTCGAAATTGAGGAGAAAAGTGATCTCTACCGTTAAAATTTGTTGCACTTTTGTACTTATGAGAAATCAAGTTTATAACACTTTTCGCAAAAATTCATCCGTAAGACCGAATGTAAATCTAATCAAGACTATATAAATCGATAGAGGAATCAACGCTCTATTTCAGCTATATATCAAAGAAAAAAAGTTTAGCACTTAAACAACCAAAATTTATTTGAAGAAAAGTCAAAATTCATATTTGAAAAAAGTTCAGGAACACATTTTTCGGAAAAGTCACCCAAGTTTACACTAAATATAGAGTATAAGCCCAATACAAAATACATAGTTCAGTGGAGGAAACTACGGTCTATAACTCTATATAAAAATAAAAAGTTTCAATATCTCCGTAACAAGTAGTCATCGAGAAAAACTACCTGAGAAATGACCTGAAAATTATCGATGAAAAAAATCTTTGTTGGACGCTTTTCGAAATGCATCAAATTTTTGGACAAGCTTTAAAGTAAACAAAATAAAAACTATACAGTTCGATAGAGTAATCGACGCTCTGTCCAACTATATTAGAATAACAAACTTCTGAAGTTTTGTATAAGTACAGCAAATTGTACAAAACTATTAAAAATAACGTAATCAAGCTGTATAATACTACCCTTAGAAGTACATGTGATGTCAGAGTTGTAGTTACGGTTCCTTATACGTAGATATGAAGTATAGGTAAGGGTGAGACCTCTATTCTATTCACAGTCTACACCCATACCTTGATATAATCCTATGAAATTTTTTCGAATGAAAAATTAATAGTTAAAGTAATTAGTAAAAATTGCTGCTCGATTTTTGATAAATGTATGTATTCTATAGTCTAACATGATAGATCTAACTGATATCTGTAATGACCATTTCGATAAGAGTTGCTTGACGTATATCACGACTAGAGACGTGCGAAGTCGAGATTTTATTTTATCCTGGTTCGGTCCGAGCAATTTCTTTTCTAGTAGTCACGACTCCGATCTCGAGAAAATTCTTCCAGAACTGATTCATATCACATCTAAAACAATTCTTCAATACTCATTTTTTGATTTATTTAGCCGACGACTAGCACTTTTTTTGGGCCATCTCTCTTGAATTATGTTCAAATTTATAAGATAATTTGCTTAAACCCATAAATAAAATTTTACTCTAATTCAATTTTAAACAATAGTTGAAACGTCACTTTCCAATTTCAATCATAGAAATCAGAAGTAATTTGTTTTTTTATATCAACTATCTATATATTATACTTTTGTATGACTGACAAAGATTCCCTGTCAATTGGAGAAATCAAAAAAAAAATTACACAAATATAATTAAACTGTTTAGAATATTTTTTATTGAAATTACAGATTAAGAACTTAATTATTAAGAATTTTTGAAGGTACTTCAAAGATAATTTCATTGTAATTATATTAATGAAGTGTATTATTGATAGTAAAACGTATAAATTTTAAATAAACATCAAATTAAATGTTAAGGTATGAATTTCTGATGTCGACAAACAAGAGAAAAATCAATCAACATTACACATTATATATATACTTTTCATAAAGAAAAAATAAAATAAAATCAAACATTTTTTTTTCTTCGTTTTAAATGCAGCTATTAGGAGGTTTGTTGACAACAACGAAAAAAGAAAAAAAAGTGAAATCGTTTGTCAACGTCATTTTACTTGTATTACTATTATTTAACATAATATTATGGTTCATACAACTGCGACAACTTTACATCTTCATTATGATTTAGAAAAACCTGGCTATCAAGGTATTTAATTGATTATAAAATATATTTTTTGAAAAATTTTCTTGAATATTTTTTCTTCAGGTTATGATCGTCGACATTATCCTGAAAAACATCGTTTTAATTTTAGTGAATGTATATTTAAACCAAGAGGTCGTCTTTATATATCGTCACCAACTTCAAATATTGATGAACAATGGCGTCCACATGGACGGCATATCGAACCAATGTATACTGAGTAAGTATTTTTTTTCATTCCTTATCACAAAATCAAACAATGAAATGAGAAGACAAAAAAAAAACACAAAAGAAAGAAATTTGACGCAATATAATCAAACAACAGTTGCCATTCTCAGTTTGTGTTAATTTTGTTTGATCTTTTCTTCTTATATAAACAAAGTATCATAGGAACTTTTTCTTTTTTTCTTTTTCAATCATCTTCTTATTATTTATTTAAAGTATTGGACCCGATTGGCAATCTCGTATTCGTTATATTCCTTCACCACGTCATCCAGACACAAAACCTACATTACCAATTGGTTTAATTGAAAATAATATACATATTACTCGTCCTTATCCACAAAATTGGCAACGTACAACAAATGAATGGAATTATTTTACTGACGAACCAATAGAACAGAATTCATCTAAACGTAATTTTTTTAATAATATACATCTTCGTTCGTTAGAAGATCTCGGTGATCAAAATATGTATATGTCACAAATAGGATGTAAAAAAAAAGTTCTTGATGTTCGTAATGGTTTAAAGAAAAAATCTGAAGGTGATAAAAATTATCGTATTGTTGAACAATCACCAGATTTTCATAAATTTGGTTCAACATTACCTATTGTTGATTTTGGACGTGAAAAAAAACGACATGGAAATGTAAGAAATTTTGTACCAATGAAAAATGAAAAAATTTCTATTATTGATGAAATTGATTTTATTGAAAAAGAACATAAACGTGAACAAGAAAATATTATTGATGAAATTGTTCAATTAGATAATTGGAAACCAGCTGAACGTGTTAAAAGTGCATTTAAAGTATTTGATCTTGATCCAAATGATAAAAATGGTGGAAAATATAGACCACGTATTCGATAAGTTATTATTTTTCTATTATAAAAAAAGAAAAATGGAAAATAAAGTTACCAGGTATTATATAATAAATGAAAATTAATTAATAGACAAAAGGAAATTTTATTATTAAGTAAATTCACCAATCTATAAGAAAAAAAAAACTAATGTGCATTTTTCTATAAATAAAAATTATACTGCAATAAAATAAAATCAATTTCATCTTGTGTTAATGAACATTGACGATAATTTTTAGATATTTGTGAAAATTCAAATGGAACTGATTTTTGAATCGATTTTAAATAATTTGTAGTCAAAAATCAGACATCAAAATTCAATTCGTTTTTATTTCGATTTAATATTTGAGCTATTGAATAAAATTCATTAATAATTTATTTTTTTTATTATGTGAAATGAAAAGAAAAAACTATTCCACTTGATGAATTTACATCAAGTTGACTTAAGAAACCCCTCTGTCTTTCGTTACCTAGAAAGAAAATTTATTTTTTTCAATTTCGAGTTTTTCATTTCTAAGAATATAGTGAAGTGTCTTCTATCAAGTGTTATAAGAATCAAAACTGTACCAAGTCATACAAGCACTGAAAAAGCTTAGTTTCGAGAACTTCTATCTTGAAAAAAATCTATGCTCTTTTAGGTGGTTATCTTGTTTATTAATTCTATGAATATTTCTTAGAAACAGCTCTTTATATTCATATTTGATACGCAGTAAATAATAATCTGTCATAATTTAAAATAAGCAAAAGAGAAAAATAAAATTTTTGTTTTGTTTTTTTTCTCAAAATCAATTTTCGAGCAAAAAAAATGACGTTTTCTCTCTTTTTCTTCTAGACAGTACGTCCGATTGAGCTCAAAATTTTTTTCTTCAATTTGTTGTTCCTACGAAATTCGATACCTTTTAAAAAATTAGTACCATGCAAAAAAAACACACCCTCCGATTTGATCTTAGTTGTCATAGAAGAAAACATTTGAAATTTTATATAAGAGAAAAGCGATCTGAAGATAATTAATCATAGTAGTCATGATGAAAAAAGAAATTCCACTATAGAACTTGGAAAGAACATATGCTTACTAGATAATATTATTTATTCAAAACAACGTGAGGGTACCCTTCTCCTTTCCGAGATTTCTAGAGAATGACTCATCAGAAAATTTTGAAATTTTCAGAACAGGTACATCTTGATGAGTAGAACAAAAGTTGCCATAGACTCAAGTTTCCTGAATGCTGTCTTCTATAAGATGGCGGGATTATAATGGTATTTGTTTCTTCAAGATGCTATGTTTGGTCGATCTGAAAATTATTTTTACAGGCACCAGGCACTATTTGGGAGGGGTATCTCTTTATATTTTTTTCTTCGAATAAAAAAGCCAAAATATCGAATGTATCCTAAAACAACACATGTGTTTTTTTTTCTAAAAGGTACCAAAACTCAGTAGAACAGTATTTTTTGAAACAAAAAAATCATATCCATTCCAAACAGTGTATAGTATGTGTAAAAAAATTCCAGCTCGATCGGATATACAAGACCGAAGAAATGGAAGAGTTTCTGAATATTTTTTTCCGTGAAAAAGTTGATTTGAGAAAAGCGCAAAACAATTTAAAAGGACGTAAAAAATTATTTTTCCAGGGAGGCATCACCGTAATTTCAAATAACTTCAACAACGAAATTTATACTAAATTAAACCGCGTCGAAAATAGGACTTATCAATACTAAACAGTAAGGATTATGACAACTTTTTAGTGTCGAATTTAGAAAATTTCTAAAATTTCACGTCTTATCAGCAAAGAAAAATTCGCTTTATGAGATAATTCAAATTAGATCTCATGTAAAATGATGAACATTACAAAGTATTGGATACTTGACTTAGAAATATTGAAACAATAATCAAAAATGAAGTTGAAGAAAATTTTTATTCAAAATGGAATACAATCGTTCTGATGAGTAAATTTGAAAACAACATATTTCATATGTTTTGACAAACATGGAAACAGACACTGATCTATTTGAAATTATTTTACATTCGTATTTGTCTCGTCTTCCTATTGTAAAAACGCTAATAGTCTTTATACTGATTATTGATTATATTCGTCATTTTAAATGACATCCAATTTGAACTACTTCTTAAAAGAATTTTTTCGGTGCTCATATGGCGTAAAATTTTAAAAATTTCTTGAATTTGATATTGAAAACTTGCCATAACCCTTACTAATTCGTATTGATAAATCTGATTTCCGACGAACTTTAATTTGATAAAAATTTTGCTGTTGATGTTATTTAAAATCACAGCGTTACACTAGTTAAGAAACATTTTTATGCATCCTGCACAATTTTCACTGTTTCCGTTACATAAATTTGGTTTTTCCAATGTTTAAGTTCAATTTTTCGGCCTCAAAATGTATTCAGTAAATAGATACTATTTCAGACGATACAAGAGCTACAAAAAAAAAACATAAAAATTTTGCATGACACAAAGCGGTAGTACCGTTAAATCAAATTACGATTAACGAGGTTTACATTTAAACCCTCATCGAACAGATCGAAATAACAAAATTCTTTTTTTAAGAAGAATTAGACGTGTAAATTTCTTTTAGTTTGATATAGTTTAACTATTCGAATTAATCGTTTATATGAGTGACATATGAAAAGTTTCGTTTAGAATTGTAAATGTTATTTCTAAATCTAATTCGTTATTTTTGTTGAAATTTTTCATTGATGACGAAATTATGATTTAAGTTTTAAAAAGAAAATTTAGATATTTGAGGATACTTCTACACGATACATACACACAGCTATAGCCACGCCCCGTGTTGTGTGCGCTTATTGTATGGAAGAACTCGATTTAACGTAGAAGCCAATGAAAATAAAAATTCGTTGTGATTGGTGAAGAGCGATACCTACAAGTAGACTCATTAATAGATAAACCAAAGCTAAAGTTGCATTGCATTATTTGTTGACCTAGATAAAGTAATGTTAGGTACAACTAGTCGTCGTTTATTATTGTGTGTATTTCGGATATCATGTCGATTCAGTTCTACAGAACCTGGTGCTATTGTACCTGGTTTAAATTCTCCATTACGTGGTGATGGAGCTATACGTCGAAGTGAACCATATGGTTCAACAGTTGAACAAACATATGCCGGTGTTTTATCATTTCTTCGTCGTAATTATACACGTAATTTAAATAATGTTGATGTTGCTGTTACTGGTATACCACTTGATTTGACAACAACATTTCGACCAGGTGCTCGATTTGGACCAAAAGCCATTCGTGAAGCATCTGTACAATTACCTGAACTTAAATCATATCCTGAAGGAATTGATCTTTTTGAAGATTTAGCTGTTATTGATTATGGAGATTGTTATTTTGATCAGAGTCAACCGAAAACAATTCCATCTGCTATTCAAGAACATGCTAAAAAGATCATTGAGCGAAATACATTTCTTCTATCTCTAGGTTATTCAAATTTTCTTTTGGATATTAATGAGAATTGGTATATATTTTAGGTGGTGATCATTATGTGACATATCCATTATTAAAAGCTCATGTTGCTCATCATAAAAAACCATTATCTCTTATTCATTTTGATGCTCACTGTGATACATGGCCAGATAAAGATCCAGATGGTATGAATCATGGTACTATGTTTTTTTATGCTGTAAATGAAGGTCTCATTGATCCTAAAACATCGATTCAAATTGGTATTCGAACATATAATGATGATACTATGGGTGTTAAAATTCTTGGTGCTGATTGGATTCATCAACATAAAATTGAAAATGTTGTTGAACAAATTCTAGAACGTGTTGGTAATAATCCAACTTATTTAACTTTTGATATCGATTGTCTTGATCCAGCATTTGCTCCTGGCACTGGTACGCCTGTTTGTGGTGGTTTATCAACGGCACAAGCTCTTGCTATTATACGTCAACTTGGTTCAGTAAATTATGTTGGAATGGATATTGTAGAAGTTTCACCATTATATGATTATGGAAATATAACAGGTTTAGCAGCAGCTACATTAGGATATGAATTCTTAATACTATTAAGAAATAAAAAAGTTATTGATAAATCATTCCATTTTGGTACTCGATAAAACAAGAATTTTGTTTGTTTTTGTTTTTGTTAGGTTTCAAACAATTAATATAACATAAAATGAGCATAACGAGAATTATTAATAAATTGATTAGAAGTTGATTTATTTTTTTTCTTTTGGCTAATCATTCGATTCTTTTGCTATATTTCTATATTTAACGCTTTTAATTATTGGTTTTTTCAGGTTTAATAAGTGGATCATGTCAGTGTTAGCTATTCCTTTTTTTAAGTGTTGTATGACTTGTGAACTATGTAAATATGTAATTTACTTTCAAAGAATTTATTTTGATCTTTTTCATTATCTTTTGTATCAAAGTGAATTCTTAAAGGTTTTTATGGTTTAACTTTTCATATTCAATAAACTTATTATTTTCATTGAAATATTTTTATTAATATTAATACAGAATAAAACTTGTTCATGCAAGATTCTTTATTTAGATACCGACAGAATAAAAAGAAAAGGTTCATTTGACCCTTATTTTTGTACCAATCAAAAAATAGACAAATACTATCTGTTGTTGTCTCTTCGATAAATATAAACATTTCAGGTCGAATTAGTCCTTTCTTTTTTTTCTATGGATACATGACTAATCGATAAATAGATAAGATATACATATCACGATACTTTACAATAACATAAAGAATAATGTTTACATATAATGTATTTTCTTTAGATGATTTTTTTGCATTTAATATTATCATTTTTCTGTTTCCTAACATTGACTTCTGTATTTTGTATTGATAAAATTTGTAATAAAAATAATTGTCAATTACCTTATTGTCAATGTGCTGTTAGTAATAGTAATCCAACATCATTAGACATCACTGATATACCTCAACTTGTAATAATTTTATATATAAAAATCAATTGATTAGAACACATGATTTTAACTATTTTTAGGTTCTATTAACTTTTGTTGGTAATTTAAATAAATATACATTTGATCCAATTCGTTCAATTCTTAATCCAACTTATCGAAATCCAAATGAATGTCCTATATCATCAACATTTTTTGTTAATGATAATTATACAGAATATTGTTTAGTTCAACGTCTTTTTGATAATCATAATGAAATAGCTATGACTACTTCTAGTAATAAGTAACATCAATAATCTACCATTCTTTTTTTTTTTGTATTTTTGTTTTCATCAAAATCTTTCTTTCAAAGATGTCCATTAACAAATTGTTACGATGAAAATAATTGGCGTCGTTGGTCGGACAATAATTGGAAACGAGAAATAAAACAACAACGTTTAAATTTAATAGAACAATCAAAAATTCATCAATCACATATAAAAGGTTTTCGTGTACCACATTTACAAATCGATGATAATAAACATTTTGAACATATTAGAAATTTTCATTTTCATTATGATTCATCAATGTTATTTAAATCGTCAAATTTCATATGGCCATTTACACTTAATTATTCATTTAATCAAACAGATTGTATTAATTGTGATGATTCATATCAAACAATTGAAACACTTTGGCAATTTCCATTACATGAATGGATTTATCCAAATGGTGATTTCATTTTCTTTTTTGTAAATTTTTTATGAGGAACTAGAATAGGAGGGTCATAATTTAAAAAATAACACACTCTAAAAGAAATGAGTTTATTACTGAATTTTGAAAGTTTTACATTTGAGTACGGAACTGTTTTAGGTTTTGTAAAATGGAAATTGTTTCGCACTTTCCATACTAGACCTTGTTTGGTTCAGGTAAATTCGACAGGTTTAATATCTTTCATACTAAACCATTTTTAGGTTCAAAAAAAAAGCAAAGAGTTTCGCACCTTTCACACGAAACCATCGTGCCTTCCATGGATCAAAAAAAGTTTTGTATCTTCTTTAGGAAACTCTATATGGTTTGGTAGAATAAGGAAAGATTCTGTATGATTTGTAGAGGATCTTCGATAGTTTCGTCCGATACAAAAGAGTTTCGTATTTTTTCTACGGAACCTACTGCATATGGTTGATACGGTGAAAGGTTCCGTAATTATCTTACAAAATCCTTTACAGTTCCGTAGAATATAAGATGGTATCGTATTTTTCTTCCCAAAATATTTTCGTACTTTGAGGAAAGAAAAAGGATCCGCATATTTTCTACGAAACCTTCTGCGTGAATGGTTCCTGTCAAAGGCTTTTTCCGAGCCTTTTTCTTTATAGCCGACAAGTGAAAGCTTTAATACACATCCATTAATATCAACTACATGTCAAAAGATTTCATATAAACTACTTCGCCTAGACGACATATGAAAATAATTTCGAATTCGTTAAAATTAACTGATATTACATAATTAGAATGATGTTTTTGTTTATCCTTCACTATCACTAAACACTACAGTCGTCAAGAGTCAATGTGATTGGAAGTCATTGGACTCGATTTACTACTATGAAAGTATTGAGAATATATAGTTGCTGCTATTATCTCTATTTCTCATCCTACTTTGCTCGCTTATATAATACACAATTAACCACTGCTCTTGCATGTTGACCTTATGAAGAGTGAGAATCAGATTAAGCGTATACGTACCGGAGCATAGTCATAAGGGTATAGAAGTAAACATATAGGCATAAGCATAGAATTATAAAGGTATGAGGTCAATAGTACAAGTTAAAGGGTACACAGATAACGATATGCGTAGACATAAAAACACAAGTAAAAGCGTATAGGTGTGATGTGATAGGTTTACGGAAACAGTTATGAAGGTATATGTCTTAGATTATAGATCTAAGCGTAAAGAGGTTAGAACATAGTCAAAAGGATATACTTATAAGGGATTAAATATAGGGGTAAGAGATTAAATGCAGGAAAAAGGTTGTTGGTATAGATATAAGGAATTAGACATAGTTATAAATGGTTAACTATAGTTATATGGATTTAGGTGTAGGAACAAGGGTTTAAGTGTAGAAATAAGGGATTAGAAATAGTTATAAGCGGTTAAATATAGGCATAAGAGTAAGTATAGAAATAAAGGTGTAGAGGTATGTAAATGAGGCTAATTGTATTCATATAGAGATCACTAAGACACTCTTCGTGCGAAACCTTATTTTTGATTTGGTAAAAGATTTTATGGGAAACCTCTCCTACGAAGTCTTTTTTACAGCAGTCCAGAAAAGATTTGATACGAAACCTTTTTATGGGTTAGTAAAAAACCTTTTTTGTTTAAAGTGTGGGTGTGAGTCTAGAGTAGGGATGCAACAAACCTAGAATAGATTTAGGATTTGTGGTCAAGGATCTTGAAATTTGTATTTGTATTTGAAGCTTAAGTTTGAATTTAGATTTTGATTTGCTTTTGAATAAAATCCATATAAACAGTTTGCAATTTGGCGACCTTTATCGAAACACAAACTATATTTATATTATTTTTATTCAAAGCCGAATTCAAATACTAAGAATTTGGTTTCAAATCATAAAATCTTTTTCTAGTTGTATCACACCTGTACTAAAATAGATTATTGTTGATGCAACCTTATCTTACAAAGTCTTTTCAGATACGGATCATTTGATGTCAAATCCAAATCGAATTCTTCTCTCAAGTCTGAACTAAATAATATCAAAGCTCAAGGCTTCATGTTTGTTACATTTCTAGTCTGGAAGATTCGAGTGTGAGTGTTGATATGGACATGGATTGCCTCTGGTGTGTAGCTGTTTGGTTTTAGACGTATATGTGGATGAGAGCGAGATCCCTATTTCACCTACACTTTCATATGATATTTGTTAATAAACTTTGTGAAATAGAAAAAAAATACTGTGGCTGCTTTAATTTTTTGTCTGTCATTACCTTTTCGTGTTCATCAAATAAAATTTAATTTGATCCAGTCAAAATTGAAATTTTAGTTTTGATTGACATTATATAGAATGAAATAAAAATTTCAATTTAGTCTGGATAAAACTAAAACTTTAATTTTGACTGGACAGATTTTAAATTTGACTAAATTTTAATTTTTATTACAGCATCTATATATATACCGTCGTTACCATCTGTGTATAATGTTATAGACACTAATAATAATATTTACACTACGTGTAAGGTACTTTTTTAAGGGATATGTGGCTCTTTTCAAACGCATCTTCAGTATTTCAAAAAATATAAGAATATAGGAAAACAGCTTGAAATATAGCTCATGATAGGATCAATTTAAAAATATGGGAAATATAGGACTACTACGAAGCAAGGTAATTTTACGAAAGAGTCCAATATGCTATTATTATAGACACAAAGTTTTCGCTGTTGTAAAATTGTTTTCTTTATATAACTCGTTAAGCTCTGTCTAATCATGACAAAAAGAAAATACTGCTACAATTTTGAAGTGTGACCGCATGACATAAACTGTAAATACAATGAAGTTCGAATATTTTGGTCCGTAAATGCTTTGGCAGCAAGGAGAGCATTCAGTTAACCCAAATATGATCAATCTCTTTAACTTACATTATGCGACCTTCTATTGTAAGAAAGACTACAAGATTTTGTTGAAAAATTCATCAAAACGAACATAATTCATAGAGAAGAATTCCTCTAGATGGTCTCTAGTCTCATGAGAACTTATCTAATAAAGTATGACCTATATAAAAAATGATTTATTACTTGCTGAAAATTCCCTCATGAATCTGCAATCAAAGTAAACAAATGAGATTTTTTGTTTTTTTTTAGCAACTGCATCTTGTCGTATTCTTTCCGATTCAACTTGTTTACCTGATGATGAACCATATACGGTCGATTTATTTTTTGATTTTATTAAATATAATTTTGATCGTCATTCGTCACTAACTCTTGGCCATCGATCTCCATTTATAATCGAACTTGATCTATTTTGGCTTTTAGAACATCAAAATATACGTCTTGAAGCATTAATTCGTTTTATTGAATATATTTTAAATAGTGAAGATTATGATTATGTTTATTTTGTTTCAATTGAACAAGCACTTGAATGGTTAAAATATCCACGTAAATTAGATGAACTTAAAGATTTTTGGGCATTTAGTTGTAGTAATACAATATATGAATATGATATCGATTGTTCTGATATAGAATTAAATTTGTTAACTCAAGATGTTAAAGAATCCACATCAAAAAATGACTCAAATATAACAGATTCTCAATTAATCGATCGACAAGCTGAAGATTTATTTCGTAGTAGTATTGCATTTCATTCCATATGGATATTTATTCTATTAATTTTAACCGTTCTTTTTTATGATAAGTACTTTGTACACAAGTGATATTTTATTTTTGTTTTTTTTTTCCTTTATTTAAACTATTTCGACAATAAATAAAAAAAAAAGCCCATGAATAACTATCAAATTCTTTGCTTCCTTTTTTTTTTGTCTTTTTACTTTTTTTTTGAAATATATTGACAACGAAAACAGAAGACATTAGACATTGGAACCGGACTGGAGCAAAACAAAAAAACAAAAAAAAACCGACTTCATTAAAGAATTATGATACAATATGAAATCACTGGTCTCACACTTATTATGAAAAGAAAAAATACATAGATACCCTTAATGAAAGATGTATTTTAATATGATTGCAACGATAATAATAAGAATCAATTGAATATACGATGAAAAATGATTCAAATGATTATGTTCCTTTCTTATTCGATTATTTTTTAAAGAATTTAAATCTTTTTCATGTGTATCAAGTCGCTGATTTATACGTGTTAATGTTGTATCAATATGGTTCAACATTGATGTTATCTCATCGTTAGATTTAAAAAGCATTGATGTTTGATTTGTTATATTTGATTTTGTATATTGTGTGTTATCTTCACGAATATTATTCAATGATGGTGATGGACCACGAGTTAATGTTGATGCTCTTCCGACTGGATTTATTACAGAATTATTTCTACTTGATGATTGATTTGTATGAGTTATATTCTGTGCACGATGACGAGTACGAGTACAGATAATAAAATTACTCTCATATGTTGATATATCATTATGAGCATCCCATGGACGAGAACTAAAAATAAATAGTTTATTATGAATTAATAATTTGAAGAAAAACATTCATAATTCGATTGGAAGTATTTCTGTAAGATGAGCAAAGATTGAAAAGATTCAAATTTATGCTATTTTTGAATTAAAATGTGACCCTGTACATTTCCGTTATCATTTTCTTGTCTTGATGAAAAGAATTTTCAGATGTTTATCAAAGCAATAGTGAGCTGGAAATCTTATTCCATAACAATGTTCAACTAGAAAAAATTCACCATTATAATATCTCCTCTACGTTTATAGCCGACCTTATGAAAACATGCTATCTTGCTGTGAATTTGCCATAACACTTCATGGTGAGATGCCTAGATGTGCGGCAGCCTCGATGCCAGATTATGCAAATACAATGTAAAGTATTGGTATATATTTCTTTTTCTTTCTAGTGTCAACAAAATAAGAACACGTACATTAGAATAATGGGCGCGAAAAATGACAAAACAAGAGAGAGAACATAGCGGGAAAGACACATAAAGATTAAAAGAAATAAGATGACAATAAAAGTGATGACACATCGTACCGTCATAGGGGAGCATAAATACTGACTTTTAGATTATAAATATTAACAAAATCGTGTTTTTTTAGCTATAAAACTCTTCATCATTGACCAAAATTTTTCTGAAATTCTCTACATTTATGCTTTTAATACGAATCAAAAGGTCAACCGTCACACAATGTCTAATTTTACTATAAATGTAGATTTTAGGAATAATAGATGATGAGAAAATGATTAAAAAAGCAAATCATAGTTTTTACTTATACATTGAAGGTAAGAATATCACCGAAAACTGCACACACACACACACACAACATTTAAATATGTTTGCCATGGAGAAATCCACAGAAACCATCTACATTTATGATTGCTCACATCAATTATATGCAGTATCTTGGCAATATTATAGAGACAATAACAAATTTTTTATACTTAGGATCATAAACATAGAGAGGATATCATTAATAGTGAACTTGTTTTTCTCTTTGAACATTCCTTGATTTCTAACAGTTAAAAAGACTTCTCTTTTTTTCAAAAGATAAATCGTACCATTAGGCTTACGAGGAGACTACTCAAGTTGATACCCACCATTTGAGCTCATATTGAATTCCTCCGTAAGACTAGAAAAATAAATTCTAAAAATGTTTGTATCTATGAGTCTCTGATGCCGAGTTATGATCGTTTTTCTGGATTGGTGATTCAGCTTTAGGTATTTACTGAAAACTTAAATAACGGAATTTCAACCTGAAATATTACTCATAGATAGATCTAATGCCTCGAGAAATATTCTGAAGTTTCAGCTGAAAAGAATGTTCCTTGTTTGAAATCTTGAAGTTTCAAGTAAACTCGATTTTTGTGACAAACGACCATTTTTTGGAAATTCAATATCTCGACAAAGGAATATTCTTTTTAGCTAAAACATTCAGGATATTCTATTAGTCATGAGGACCTATTTATGAGTGAAATTTCATATTGAAATACCATTATTTGATTTATCGGTAGATACTTAAAACTGGATCGAAAATTCAGTAAAACGATCATCACTCAACTTCAGAGGTTCATGATCACAAATTCTTATAAGTTATTTCTAATCTTGTCGAGATCTCCTTGTAACTCAATATGAGATCAAACAACGAGTATTAATTTAGGTAGTTTCCTCGTTAGTAAATGCAGACTCTATATAATAAGTCAACATTTGATGTGTGTAGAGAAGTCAACATTTGATATGTGTAGAAAAGTCAACATTTGATGTGTGCAGAGAAGTCAACATTTGATGTGTTTAGGAAAGCATTTTAGTTTTAATATCATTCAGGTTGTTTTGTCGAGAAAATGCCTCAACATATTATAATTAATATTAATTTTGTCAGATTAGGAGACAAAATTTGCATGATATATCGTCAAAAAATAAAAAGTCGCTGTTTTTATAAAACACTTATTCGAACAATATGAGCTATGTGTATTTTTAATTGACTTACTCAGCATAAGTATAAATCCATTCTTTAGTATTTGAATCAATATTGAATAAACGTGGATGCCATTCAGTACCGGTTGTTTTACGTTCTTTAATTTGTTTTCTTTGTTCATCTTCAATAATTGTTTTTTCTTCTGTTGCTATTACTTGATCATTTTGTTTAATAGCTGCTGTAACACGTTGCCATAATCTGAGAATAAGAAAATAAAAATAAATTTTCTTTTTCTATAGTTTCATTACTTTTCAGATTCATTATCTTGTTGTTGTTCAATTGGTACAACATATCGTTTTAATCGTGAATTAACAACAGATTGTGTAACTTTCCAAAATACACATTTTGCCTTTCAAAAATAAAAACTTTTGTTAAATTATATTTAACATAGAAATAAACTTACATTTGTTGCTTTATCTACCATTGTTATTTCATCATCCCAATGACCAGAAAATGTATATATGACATCTTTTTCGAGCCGAATTTTTCCTTCAATATGATTTGTAAGCTCTTGACCACCAATAAATGGCTACAAAAAAGTGAAATTAGACTAACTGATTAAAAAAAGAAATATCCTGTAATCTATACTTTTAATTTAAATTCAATATCAGCTGAATATCGAGTTTTTTCACAAACAATAGTTACTTTACCACCTAATTCCATGGTTAATTTACCAATGAGGATACCTATTAAACAATAATAATAATAATAATAATAAAAGATATTTTCAACAAAGATAAAACAAACTACCTTTGCAGTTAGCATAGGGCATTGTAATAATATAATCTTCACCTCTATTGAGTAGAGTAAGTCGAGCTGTTCCATCAAGAATAGCAGAGAGGCTATTTCCTATAAAGAAAATATAATTGATAATTGTATCAAAAAATCAAATCGTTATCAATATACCATAAAATTTCGATCTTGCTAATATACTTCCTTGTACAGCAAAACCTTCTTTTCGATTTGATACATAGAAATTGGTAATTGGAGGATGATGCGATATCTATATAAACAAAAGACATATTCTTCTATTTGAACATCACAAATATAGAAAATACAACACAAAAAAAAGAAGACAAAAAAAAATTCATAATGATTATGATTTCTTCTCAATTATTTTTTGAATCCATGGAAGAAAATATGAAACTTTTGAATAAACTCCCGGATAAAAATAACGTGCACATCCATATCCATATGATGTTATACCAATAAGAATCCATTGATCTGTTTTACGTGGTTTATAAACCAATGGACCACCTGAATCACCTATTCAAAGAAAAAAAAACAACATTATTCTTCTTTTAAATATAATCTATTTCTTACCTTGACATGTATCTCGTCCACCAGCTAAAAGTCCTGCACACATTTGTGTTGTACCGTTAAACCATCTATAAGCATATCCACATGTTGGTAAAATTTGTACAACTCCTTGTTGTAATCTATAAGGTACATATCCACCTTCACTAAGTAAACCAAATCCTGTTATAACAACAGGTTGAAACATTGGTACAGTAAAATTTGTACTCGATGGTAAACAAATTATATTAACAGTATCACTTAAATCAACAGAATAAACTAAACGTAATATAGCAATATCATGACCATATTCTGGATGATAATAATTTTCATGAATATATTTCATTGATACACGATAATTTTTACCAGTATAATAACCTTCACGTACCATATTATGTGCACCAATACGAACAAGTAAATAATTTGTATTATTTGATGATCCACCAGCAACACAATGTGCACTTGTTAAAACATGTTGTTTATCAATTAATGTTCCACCACATATAAAATATTCATTTAATGTTATATAAACTTGCCATGGCCATGCAAATTCTGGTGCTGTTGAACCACCAACAACACGTGATTCAGTTGAAAAAAATGAACGCATTGTACCACATGAACGTATTTTTTTTTCAGCATTTATTATAGGAATAGAGAGTATGAATAAAAAAACTAACATTGTTTTTTTATATGAAAATGACGAATCGATCTATTTCATTGTTATCGGTCATTCTCTTTTTCTCGCTATTGTTTAACGAATGAACGAATCAGAATAAAGAAAATATATTACCTGTTCAGCTAAATAGAATGTTTTGCTGTCGGTCTTTGTGTGATGAAAAAAACATCGATACACTTCACCAATAACTGGATTATATGGTTTTTTTAAGCCCTAAATAATCATATACACACAAAAAAAAAATTTTATGATAAGAAATTTTCTTTCAAACAAACTTTTGGTTTTTTAT